AACTAGATCTGCTATATTAACCAAGAGGATGCGTTGAACTAGATCTGCTATTTTCATGGCTTCTCTGAGACACTTTTTTATAAAGTAGGTCATTCATTCATTAAACAGTTTATCTGAATTCTATAAACCAAAGTTTTCTGCCCAACAGCAATGATGATCTGCATGGCAGCATTCTATACCCAGCTATTGTAGCATCTAGGATAGAGCTGTCAGTCTGGGAAAGAATCTGGCTTTTCCTGAAATTCTAAAAGTTAACTGTTTAATGAAGTGAAAATTTTAACTAAACACATGTCATAATGACTAAAATGTGACTAAGCTAACAATAGTTAACGTCCTGAAGATGAAAACTAAGGCTAAATCTAAGACGGCTGTCAGAAACAACACTGCTTTAAACCAAATAGAAAACGCAGTGGCTTCCAGGAGCCTCTCACCACGTCATTGGGAAGGCTTTGAAGGTCATCATAGGGGGATTCCAGGGTGTTGGTGTCAACGTTCAAGAGCACCACGTCATCCAAAGCCATCCCTTGAACTTTCTAGACCCATAGGAGAGCAAAGAGGATTTAAATCAGTGGCGTGATGTAAGCTGCGTTCAGAGAGACTCTGATGGCCGGCCTACCTCCATCAGGCTGGAATGAACTCCTATGAGGAAAGGCATTGGGGCGCTGAGGGGAAACAAACCCAAGGTTAGACTTTAGGCTGCTAAGCATAGCACTAGATACACTTTAAAACAGACACTGGACCAAGCCACTATTCACACTGCAAAAAAACATGTAGAAATAAGTTAAAATTTCTTAAATAAGGTGGATTTACCCTTAATTTGAGCAGGTAAATTAGATGATATGCCAATGTAATTAGTATTTTTAATCTTAAAATAAGATCATTAGATAATATGCACTTGGAATAAGACAATGAAACTGTTTCTTATTTCAAATGTAAAAGGTCTTGTTGCATTTGTGTCTCAGTTACCTCCTAAATAAATAAAAAAATGCACTAATTTTCAGAAAAAAACGACTTGGATATATTTTTTTTTGCTTCAACAGAACTTTGCTCCTTTCTTGCCCTGAAAATGACTCCTAAAAACAGGAGTTTGGTGCATCGGTTTATATCGACAGGATGTGTTTACGAACTCATTTAATCTGCTGGCTTCAGAGGTCAGTACCAACATGTTCATGTTCATGCAGAGAATAAACCAAACACCAAATAGGATCCATAAGACTGAGATATTAAAACAATCAATAGCAGTAAACTGGTTCAGTTTGGATTTACAGTAAAAAAGGTGTTTATGTGACCATGGAGCAGGAAATGAGGTCATTTTATGTTCTGGTTACAGTCTCAGTCTGGAGAACACCTCCTGGACCCTGAATGTCACCACAGCAGCCCTTCACCGCTCATGTCTACAGACATTTTAACCTCTAACAGTTAGGGATTGGTAACATGGTTTAAAAATTTAATCACAGATTTGGTTCTACTAAATCTAATTAATCAGTTTTTGTTCTATAAAGTTTCCTAATAAAAATGACTTTGATCATCTCATCTGGGAGGTGACGTCAATCTAAAGAGGAACAAAAATTAAGCTGCTAAAACCCGTTGGTTTCACAGCAAACTATTAAAAGATTACGAATATATAACAGATGACTAGCGGACCTAGAACGAGCTCGCTGGGAGCTAGTTTGTCAGATATGAGGAAGAAATCAACGTGATGATCTGGAGTTACTCTATTGAAGGACGAGGGTTATATCAGTGGAAAAATAACCGATTCATCAGAAACAAAATATTAGATGAATTGGATTAAAGCCTGAGGGGCAGCTAATCTAGTTGTTCTATTCAGTTTATTTCTATAGCTCCAATTCACATCATGTCATCTCAGGTCACTTTCCAGTTCACCAGATCATCCAGT